GCGTGGCTCTCACATTCAGGGTGGGAACTAACAGAAACACAGGGGGGACAGCGATCAGCGTGGCTCTCACATTCAGGGTGGGAACTAACAGAAACACAGGGGGGACAGCGATCAGCGTGGCACATTCAGGGTGGGAACTGGGAGGGAGGGAAAAGCTGCTGCACTGGCAGTGCTGGTCTGGATGCTCTGGTACCTTCTAATAGACACCAGGGGGGTGAACAGTCCATAGGAGGGGTGGGAAGGGTCTGCAGCGATTACAGTTGCACAGTGGATGCACAGTGGAGTTCAGTTATGGGTGGCGAGAAACCTCAGTGATCCTCTCAGCTGTCTTCACAATTTGCTCCAGGGACTTGCAGTTGGTCTGGACTTACCTAAAAAAGTCAGATGTAAGGCGTAACGCCACTGCAACCCAGACCAGTACAAGTAGTTAGAAGATACCTGTTAATATGCAAAATGTCAATATTTGCTGCTTAATTCTGTATTTCATTATTCTATATTGCCCCCTGTGGACAAGTATGACACATTACAAATATCCTTTAATGTCTACATATCTCAAAATGTCCCTATTTTTACATATTTCAGTTTGATAATTTCATCTAACGCAGTGTTTCCCAACCCAGTCCTCGGGGAACCCCGGCAGTCCATGTTTTTGCTCCCTCCCAGCTCCCAGCCAATCAGGAACATCGAATACCTGGTACAGGTGTGCTGGGAACTGGGAGGAAGCAAAAACGTGGACTGTCCGGGGTTCCCCAAGGATTGGGTTGGGACACACTGATCTAACGTAATGTGTTGTCGAAGATGTAAATTTTTGTACCTAGCAACTGGATAAATGAAAGCCTTACAACCAAATTTTGCTTATACTAAGATGCAGGACCGAAACTTTATTCTTGAAATAGCTTGTGTTTCACAGACAATTTTCCAAATGATATTACCTGGACTCCAGGAGTCCAGGAACTCCGATATATTGTGATGTGGGGTGAAATTACATTATATTACATTTATGTAGTTAGCAGATTTCATATATATTTCTCATTGCGAGATCTCAGTATATAAATGTAGTCATTACAGTATTACAAGATTTTAAGGAAATATAGACAACAGAACACGTTCTAAGAAATGATCATAACTATACAGTTTTAAGGCCCATCTCTTTTTGTTTATCAGAAACAGAAAGTAACATGAAGTACCCGCATGCACAACGGAACGTTTTTTGACTCAAACCAAGAGTCATTGTCGCCGTTTCCTGCTTTATTGACATCCTGCTCACTCAGGAGCTGAATTGCAGGCGGAAAGTTTTAGGTGGAAAGTTGATGATAACATTGAACAGTAGTAGCCCTCTCATTCTGTTCTGCAATGTCTAGCTGTAGGCGTTGAAGATGTGTTCCATTCTAGTAATGAAAAGACCAAACCCAGTGCTTACAGCTGACAGGCCCTTCACTGCATCAGTCTTGCAACACTGTCTTTCGTCATTTTTCACATTGCGACATTTGTTCCTTGGGATGAAATTCGCCCTCTTCTTGGCCTTTAAGTAACGCATACACAAACGTCATCACTAGGTTTTTCTCAACATGCATTCTTATATCTTAACTACAGTGGAATAATGTTGAGTTTTATAAACCCATGAAGGGTCCTCTTTGGAAACAGTTAACCTATACTATAAAAATTACATTCATTTGAAATTTTCTGAATATTAGAAGGTAAGTCATGAAATCCAAGGAAATGTGAAACTTTCCAAATATAGTCAGCTTTCATTTGTTTGTTTATTTGTTTTCAGATGATTTTGTCTAAAGTGATAGCATTTGTGAGATAAAGTAAGGCAGATTGTATATCACAACCACACATGAGAAATTCCATCATTTGGTATTTATTAATGGTAGACAATGTAGTCTTTGATACTGTTCCTGAATTTCTCACCAATTTTCTCCTGGACTGTATTGGGATGGCTATGGCTTGTAACAGTTTTTTTCCACAAGCCATCCGTCTTCTCAACAAAAACAGACTGGACTGATAATTGCACACACACACACACACACACAAACATTATCACTCAGCTCACCTCATCTACCTCAAAACATTGGGACTGGACTGACTAATCAACACAAGCGCAAACACACTGACCTACACTACCAAACGATCGTACACACCAACCTGTAAATGCTCTTTAGCACAATATTGAATACTGGATTACTTTTTGCACTAATTCCTAAATTCTTGCTGCTATGTTAAGGAACATCTACTGTTTCTCCACTACCTCAACTCATCACCTCAACACCATATTATTATGTTATGTTATGTCTTGTTTATCGCACTTTTGTTGTTGCTCTTGTTTGCACATTCGCACGTGCACTTTATTCTATGTTGTAAAATTATGTTGCCAATCTGTCTTGTCTCTGCTAGCCAGCTAACTAGGCCTCTTAGCTAGTTTTAGTTTTTCTGTTAATTTATGTTGTAAATCTATGTTGCATGTAGCACCTTGGTCCTGGAGGAACGTTGTTTCGTTTCACTGTGTACTACCTGTATATGGTTGAAGTGACAATAAAGCCTACTTGACTTGACTTGACTTATAATTTACTTTATTTTCATACTTATGAAATCATTCAATGGTCACTTTGACCCTGTGAATAAAAAGCAGTGTATGCAGTATATTCAGTTGCTATAATATGATAGTAGGCTATTACATTTTAATTACACAAGTTCCTCGTTTAATTTGGCATTATATAATAATGTCCTCATTTAAAATAAGTTATTGCAATAATACTGATGCAATGACTCCTCATAGTACATTAAGTACCTTACAAAGTATTTTTGTGAATGATGACAGGCATGAACCTTGATTTTTCTAATTCTGCAGTTATGTCTTCAGTATGAATTGTGATAATTACTAATGGCTCAAGTAATTACTGTAAGTACTGTAAGATTTCCTCTTTGGTACAATTGTGTACTGTACTGTTGTTTTACTATATAGGGGTGGAGTCTTGGTACTACACGTCACCACAAAACTGATACACTCTCTCTCTCTCACACACACACACACACAGTCATGTGATCATATCTTTTTGGGGACCGCTCATTCATTTCTATGGCAAAAATGCTAATGATAACTATGACAACCTTAACCCCTACCCTGCCCTAACCATAACCATAAGTAACCAAACAAAATACAAGAGTTTTTGCATTTTTAGTTTTCCCCCAAAAAACAGGTATTCATCACGTTGTGGGGACATTTGGTCCCCACAAGGTAAGGTATACCTGGACACACACAAACACACAGCTGTGATGTTCAAGGCAGGTGCCCTTATACTCATTCAGTCACCAATCTCACTTCAGGGAATCCACTCAAAAATTCGAGAGGCAGGGGTGTCACTAGGACTTCAGGCTAAAATGCTTTTTATCCCCCCCCCAATACATACATACTGAATAGTTCACATAGTGTGCTTTCATTCATTGTCATAAAAATCCATCAAAACATTTCATTGCATCTTCTGGACCCAGGGGAGATGCAGCAGTAATCGATTACTATGACTTTGTACATCTCACTGGGGGCTGAGCCCCACCCCTAAGGGTCAAATCCTAGTAACGCCCCTGACGAGTAATCAAGAAGGGGAATACCTCGCTGGAGTATTTCCCATTACTGACCCAGAGTGCTTTCTTATCACTGAATGTGTCACCTCACATGTGTTCACACTCAGATGTGCACAGAAGAATGCATTTACACACAGGTGCACTCAGAAACATACAAATGGAGACAGCCAATCATTTGTTCCTTTTCTCATCCTCTCTCGTTTTCTGTAGCTGCGGTGAGGGCTGTGGTTCTTCTGTGGTCTCTTTGTTTCACTGCAACGCTGAAAAACTCCCTGCTGAAGAGACTCACATTGACACGTACCTCCCCATCCTTCAACCACATTCTCAAAATAGTTTTAAACAGATGTATGTGTTTTTAACTATATTTCATAATGACATTATTATTTGTGTACTCTGTCTCAGTAATATGGAATAAAGCTTCAAATTGATTTAAATTTTCAGACCCATTCCCAACGGTTTACAAAATCAAGCACCTAGGTATTTCACTATTAACTGTAAATGGTATTATTGCAAGTTGTAAGCGTTTAGGAATAACAGAAACTCAGACACAAATTGGCAGACCATGTAAAGTAACAGACCACATAAAGTAACAGAGCGGGGTCACCAAGTGCTGAGGCATATTGTACGTAAGTCGCCAACGCTCTGTTGACTCAATAACTGCAGTTCCAAACTTCCTCTGGCATTAATCCCAACACATAAACTGCGCCGGGAGCTTCATGGAATGGGTTTCCATGGCTGAGCAGCTGCATGCAAGCCTCACATCACCAAGCACAATGCCAAGTGCTGGATGGAGAGGTGTAAAGCTTGCTTCCACTGGATGGAGAAGTGGAAACGTTCTGTGGAGTGACGAATCACACTTCTCTGTCTGGCAGTCTGATGGACGAGTGGGTTTTGTGGCTGCGAGGAGAATTTTACCTGCCTGACTGCATTGTGCCAACTGTAAAGTTTGGTAGAGGAGGGATAATGGTATGCGGTTGTTTTTCAGGGGTTGGGCTCGGCCCCTTAGTTCCAGTGAAGGGAACTCTTAATGCTTCAGCATACCAAGACATTTTGTACAGTTCTATGCCTCCATCTTTGTGGGAACAGTTTGGGGAAGGCCCTTTTCTGTTCCAGCATGACTGTGCCCCAGTGCACAAAGCAAGGTCGATAAAGACATTGTTGGGTGAGTTTGGTGTGGAAGAACTTGACTGGCCCACACAGACCCCTGACCTCAACCCCACTAAACACCTTTGGGATGAACTATAACGGAGATGTGAGTCAGGCCTTCATGTCCAACATCAGTGCCTGACCTGACAAATGCTCTTCTGGATGAATGGGCAAAAACTCCCAGACACTCCAAAATCTCATGGAAAGCCTTCTGAGAAGAGTGGCAGCTATTATAGTGGTACAGGGGGGACCAACTCCATATTGATGCCTATGGATTTACAATTAGAATGTCATAAAAGTTTCTGTAAGTGTAACGGCCAGGTGTCCTGACACTTTTGTCCATGTAGTGAATCTCCTGTCACAGAATCTGAAAACACAAAAGACAGTTTAAGTAAATCAAATAAAGGTTAGCTGATGTTACAGGACATGCTACAAGTTCTTCAGAGAACTTGAGTGGAATAAGGCACAGCCTGTAGGTGGAACAGAGCTGTGCTACATCAGACAGGCCCTGAGGCTTGTGCCAATCTGACTGTGGCAGCTTGTGGGGGCCGCAGGGAGACAGAATGTGACCCGACCACAGCACTCAGGGCACAGTGAGGCAGCAAGAAGAAAAAAGCCACACAGTTCTTTGAAAATGAGATAGTCAAGGGCCTGAATTGCTTTTCTTGTATTACTTTAGTCTACATCTATGTAAGAAGAAATGTTTGCTGGGAAAGTATTCTTCAAGAAAAGGTTCAGTTCTTGATGCGTCATCAACATACTGCAGCATCTGCTGAGCTAACAGGCAAAATTATTACAAGCCAAGTTTACTCAATGATGTCACATTTTTCACCTACTGCAGTGGCATGAGTGGGCTTCGATCTTCGTAATACCACTGGTCATTTTAAAAACTGATACAAATAAAAAAAAAAAGTAGCTGAATCTGTAGTGTGATATTGTCACCAGGTGGATTATTATGGGACAGACCCACCTGATTTTCTGCTGCCGCATCCTCATTATGATTTTTGGCTACGGTAATGTTTTCACCACGCCTTGGAACTAACCATGGTCAATAATATCAATGAATAACAGAGAACAATTTTATGATTGCTTTTTACTGAGCTGCCTATTTCATAATTAACGTAACTTTTAACACAATCACCTTAAAAGACTCAAGGGGACTCCACAGATTACCAGACCTCAGGCTCCTGAGTAGTGTAAACACCTTGTCAGTGAATGCAATAATCAGATAAGGGCAACTCCATCCATCCATGATCTGGGGAGCAACCTAGGAGGGGGGGGGGGGCAGCCCATCACAGGGCACACTCACACACACCTATGGGCAATTTAGTAACTCCAATTAGCCTCAGCATGTCTATGGACTGTGGGGGGAAACCAGAGTACCTGGAGGAAACCCCACGACAACATGCAAACGCCACACACATAGAACCCAGGTGGAGACTTGAACCCAGGTCACAGCGCTGTGAGGCAACAGTGCTAACCACTGCACCCCCATGCCACCCCCAAATAAAGGCAATTATATGTTAGAAATGCTTAAATTGAATGTGTGACATTTAAATTAAGATATACCAACAGAACTGCAAACCTGCAAAAAAAAACAGTGAATTAGGGATGCTCATTTCGATTAATTTTCCCAACCGACAACCGCCGTTCGTTATCCGAACATTAACCGTTAACTGATTAGATTAGAATATTAAATTCCTCTGGGGTCGGCGGTCCCGCCGGCGGGATCTGACAGAAATTTCGCCAAACCATTTAAATAACTCTGCGAGGTTTTATCATATACACATTTAAAAAACACCCTCAGAAACCTTGGACGGTCTACTTTTCAAATATATATATAGGTAGAAACTAAATATATTTTTATAGCTTCGTGATATGAATAGAAAGAACAAGAGTGACTGACTTAAGCGTCTGCGTCTCGAAGCAGCTCTGATCGCCTTCCCACTTGCAAATTGCGCTATTCGCATGATAATCCGACAGTTAGTATTGGATAAAGAAATATGTGAATACGCCCATTGTGACCGAAATAAACAAGAGCACATGTCTGGGTAGTGTTTACACCGATCGGCTACAATATAGCACACGGACGTCTCTGCCGCTGAAGCTTTGCGCCAATGTTTCCAGTTTCAGCAGCAACGCTCGTACCTGTGTTCATGGCTCAGTGGGCTAAGCCTGTGTGCCTGTAATCACAGTCGCCGATTCAAACCCAGTGTATTTAGAACGTGAAAAGCGATCTTCAACTGAGATGCCACAAAACTTCATACTACTACTAATAATTAAAATATATATAAAAACATTTTAAACCGTTTAACTGATAGTAATATTCGGTCAAAATTAATTATTTCGGTTAACGGTTAAACGGTCAAAATGAGCATCCCTACAGTGAATGTAATATAAAATCAAGCAGCCTTAAATCTGATGCTCTGGATATCTGGACCATAAACACAGCATTCAAAAACACAATTTGATATTCTAACTGTAGTACAGACAAGCTCCGTCCGATCCTCATGTGTGCCACGCCCACCTCGTTACCTCCTGTTTCTGCCTGATTGTTCTCACCTGTTGCTCGTTACCCGTAGCTTGTCTTGTGTATTTAGTCCTCGTCTGAGTCAGTCTTCCCCAGACTTGTCATTGATGTTTGTCGTGCTTCCCCAGTCCTGTTTCTCCAATAAATCCCCGTTTACCCGACTTCCCGGCTCCTTTTCCCTGCTTTCCCGTTCGCCTGCAAGTCGTAACGTGACACTGCAGTTATGCAGACCCCAGAGTATCAGGAAAGAAAAAATAATTTGAAACAAATGAAACTTATTACTGAATATAGAAATACAGAAAGTTAAAGGCCATATATAATTGACAATGGGCAAATATGTAGAATTCATAACAATAAAATGCATAATTATTGCTCAATATAAAGCAAATGGCTCTTTACTGTACAATGAATGCAATAACCCAGTGTAGAGACATCCTCAAATTCAAATCAGAGAGGCCAATATAGATAAATACAGTTTATTCAGTTTTGACAGAGTATTTAAGCTGATTTTTAGTACATCGAAAACACTCTTATAATAAAAAAAAAAAATAGTATGCCCTTTGAGACTGCACCTTTTTCCTTGCATCTAGTTACAGATAATGGAGAAGCTAATAGGAAAAATACATAACAGGCATAAATGACAAAATGGCATGAAGACAAAATGCAAAATGCTATATCAACAAAAGTAATGACTCCAGTAAGACGCAAGTCATTTAGCAGCTCGACACAGATTCTGCTTCCACAGCCGGGGCATGCGATTTCGTTAAAGCTTGGTCTTTTTACTGAAATTAAAAGGTTATTGAAGAGTAAATTCAAGTATTGCTGTACTAATATATTAAGACAATCTTTGTTAAACATGTAATGTCTTTTGATTTGTCCACTGAACAAAGGAAAAAAACAAAAACACACTTCCTAAACGGCACAAACTGCACTGACTGCCGTCATACGCAGCGGAAACGCAGAATCATTCTGCCATTGTTTGGGGATGGAGGCCTGAGGACCTCAATGCACAGCAAGGGCTCCTTAAAGCAGCTTCACAGACAGTCAGGTAAAGAGATTCCTAACTTCACACAGACAGGAGGCTGCAGGCAGAGACTGCGCTACACCCAGAGTGGCGCATGGCTGCAACTAACTTAAGATCTTACGGAATACAAGCCGACGGTCAGAGAAGCCCCAGGATGGACTCATCCCACAGCTTCTCCTCCTCTGTCCGCATGTCTATTTCATCCACCCTTTCTTTTGCTCTCTTCTTGTCTTTCTTGTGCTTGGTCTTTCCTTCTTTCACATGATCCTGCTGTGCCCTTGGGTGCTTTTCCATGTCATTCCTACCTGCCTTCACCTGTTCATTCTCCCCATCTTTCTCCTCCTTTGTGGTCTTCTCTTCCTTCCTGCTCCTCTTCGCTCTATGTTGTTCCTCCAGCCTCCCCTCCTCGTGTCTCCTACTTTTCTTCCGGTGCCTCTTCCTCTTCCGCCTCAGGTCCTCTTCTTCACTCTCCTCTTCTGAGCCCTCCTCCTCTCTGCCTCTCCTTCTTCTTCCCCTCCTCTTGTGTAGTCTCCTCCTGTCCTTCTGGCTGGAGGAGCTCGAGGATGTACCAGTGGAGCCAGAGCTCTCTCGTTCTAGGCTGCTCTCATGGCCGGTCCTGTGCCCATTATTGCTACCCCTGTGGCACTGCCAGCCCCCAGGACCTGGAAGCACATAGAATTGGTTCCAACATGGACCCTCTGGGTCTCTCGACCCAGAGCCAAAAATGGGTGGAGGAGGTGGAAACGAGGGGTACTTCGACGGCAGTGGAAAGTGAGCAGGGGGAAGGACAATGACTTCACAGGCCGTCATGTCAGCAGTGCCATCGAACGGCGCTCCTCTGTCCTGTAGTTCTTCCTTTTCCTGAGCATTTGCCAACTGCGTGGTCCTGGGTTCGAGCCCACGTGCCTTTTGCACTTGGATATAGTCGGCCAGTTCGTCCTGGAAGGAGCTGTAAACTTTCTTCTGTGATTTGCTCATCAGGTCAGCGACATGCTTCTCTCTGACCGGAGAGAGAAACATCAACGATCAATTAGAAGGAAACTATAACAACGAAATATGAAAGAACTTCAGATAATAAATGCAGTACGAGAAGATACTAGCTATAAAATGCACATCATCAGAAACATAGCAGCTGGGTAATTATTAGACCGAATCTAATGATATCTAAAGAACAATTAATGAGGTGCTGAGGGTGAGAAATGATGATCAGAACAAATACAAATCATACTGCGACTTGGTTGAAGGACGGTAATGAGGCTCACTTCAGCTGGTGCTTGTTCCCCTGCATGTGAGCCTGGTACATTTCCACCGAGTTCAGTGTGATGCAGCATATTGGGCAAGTGAAACTGCTGGCTGTTAAACAAGACAGAACAGAGGATGATAGTTAATGATAGTTAGGGCTGTACTTAACCACAGCTGATTTCCTCCGCAGTTGGGTGTGGGACGGGCCTTACTCTTCTGCTCGCTGGGCTCCCCATCCTGGCCCATCTGCTCCAGGAGGCGCTGCCTGGCCTGGCTCCTCTGGTGCCTCCGGCCCGCATAGTGCTGTTTGGCTACCTGCGGGTTGTTGAAGGAGGCTGAGCAAAGGTGGCAGTATCTGTCTGGGTCGCTCAGCTCTAACCCCTGCTCCGTCTTCTCCTCCGGGGTGGCGATTCCCCCTGCAGGGGACACCGTGTTCCGCTGGAGGACAGAGTCTTCTGAGAGGGAAGACCACAGAACATTACCACCAAAAACAACATCGAGGCAGCACGAGATCCACAGAGTCCTGCTAAATTCTCACCTGTCTCCTGCTGGTCCGAGGCAGGGCTGATGAGACCAGACCTGCGCAGGTTCTTGGCATGGATTTTGCCCTCATAGTGAGACTTTGCCACCACAGGAGCACTGAACACCATATTGCAAAGCTCACAGAACCTTTCCTTGTCCACAGAGCCATCTTTTTGCTGAAAGAGACACCATAATACTGAATATCACCTGGTCGTCACCTGCCTCTGATGTATTGTATTATCAATACCAAAATCAATAACTATACATTTATATCACTTTCATTTCATTATTCACTTTATACCAAAGGTATGAAGAGAGAAGACAATAATATATATTGACAGTCTACAGTGTTTTCCAAGTTTATGCAGTAACTAAAAAAATTGTACGCCAATTCTGTATCACGTAGTGCATTTTTATCCTGCTACAGTATAAAGAAAAAATAATCCACTCCTTAAAGGAATCTAAACAAACACTGAAACTGCGCTGATCACCATGAAATGGAGTATAAATCCGTTCTACACCATGGAAAGAAAGTGCTGTGGAGGACCTCAGCTTGTCACAGCTTATGATGCTCACGAACGGAGCCACTCATGTGAAGCACGCCCAGTACTGTAACATGTTCATATCACAACAAAGATTCATAGCATTCAGGTAAAAACACATTTAAGAACTTTTACATTTCCAGGTGATCCATCCAGTACTAATAGAAATTCTACTTCACTTTCACATTTTTAAGTGAGTGTGGGACATGTACAGACTAGACGGCCAGACCAAATGCCAGGGCTGTTTAAGGAATACAATGCTGTTGTTTCTGACAGCACCAAACCTAGTTCATGAAATTGTTATTGGTAACTCTGCCTGTATTTGATGAAGCATTATTATTACAGACATGAATATATAATAATAAAACTAAGTACCCCAGAGGCAAAATTGACATTTTAGATAATAAAGATGTATAATTCTAGTGTCTTCAAACTAATTTGAAAAATTACAAAATATTGTCATTATTACAGTAATGAGTATGTGAAAATGACCCATACTGTGCTTAAGAACAGACATACTTTCTGGGTTTAAGCTTCTTTCCCCTCTTCATTTAAAACAATTCTGTAAACAGGCAAATACGCCTAGCCCATAGACATGGGGTAAATGTTAGTAGTATTAGCAGCACGGACTGAAAGTTCAGAATGCATGCTGATTAAATACCATTTTGGCCCAAATATAAAGCTGTTTTTTTTCTTCTTTCAAAAATTACATCTAAAAAAAAAAACGGGAAAAAGACGGAGAAGGATGCAAACTAGCTGTGACGTTCTGAAAGTTCCACACCTGGGGAGAACCTAGGCTAGACATGTTCTACCTTTGCCAATTCGTGTAGAGCAGGGGTCTCCAACTCCGGTCCTGGAGAGCTACTGTCCAATAGGTTTTCTATCCTACCCGGTTTCTGATGAGTCACACCTATACTCAAGTAAATACCAGGAGCAGGTGTGGTTCATCAGAAGCCAAGTAGGATAGAAAACCTACTGGACAGTAGCTCTCCAGGACCAGACTTGGAGATCCCTGGTGTAGAGAGTGTAGTATTTCATTTTGGACACTAGCCAATATCTCACTCACTAGGGAGAGAGGGGAATGAAAGGGAGTTACCTGGAAAACGGCCCGTCCACTGCTGGACCTCTCCTCATCACGCTTGCTCTGCAGGTACAGTCGCACCTTCTGCGCATGCTTCTTACCCTGTCACCAGGAGGGGAGAATATAAGCCATGCAGAGTTTGTCTATCTTCTCAAGACCAGGAGGACAGTCATAGTCCTGCTGTGCGCTTTAATGGAACAGCACAGGCCGGTCAATTGCTTGCTTTGCCGGGATGACTTGCAGCGACGTCTGAGAGCTTTACGGGAAACGGAGGATGCAGAGACGCCCACCTCGTAATGGGAGACGCGCTGGGACTCGAACTGCAGCACCGCGCCGCACACGTGGCAGTAGCCATCAGTAAGCAGCTCTCTCAGCAACTCACTGGAGCTCTCTGCTGCTGAAACAGAGGAAGAGACACAGCACAAGAGACAGAGATCAGTCGTTACACACAAGAGACAGAATGCAGGTAAGGAGAAATGAAGGTTGACAGAGATCTGGGGTGTTCAATGTCAACCATTTTTTAATGGGATGTACCAGTCACAAACTGAGGGAAAACTGGAACACACAGCCTAACCAGCCATGACTGGCAAAGGGGAAATAACTGGGAGAAGCACAAACACACTGCATGATCTGCAGCATGAATCAGCCCCTGTCCTTACCTTCAATTCAGCACATTTATGAATATCTTTCCACTGGTCGGATATGCACATCATCATAATGGCCTCTTCTCAAATGCCATCAAAAATCATAAGCTATTTATAAGTGGAAGCCTGATATTTGAGATTTGGCAGATACAATTAAACTATTTTGGATTACAATGCAATTAGGCATAGAAATTATCATAGAGAAGATTAATAACCTTCTGATGCACAAAACATCCACATTGACAGCTGCTGAATTGCTTGTGAGTGTTTTTACCTTTTCTTTAAATTCTGAGTAACATTCCTCCTTTCTTGGTCTTCAACAAATAAAAAGAAAATCATCACTTGAGTAAGTTGTCAAAACGCATGCAATGATTCACCCAATTAACGATTCGGTTCACAATTCGATCTTCTCACAATATATGTGAGAACATTAAAAAAATATATATATATTATCAAAAATGCAGCATTTATTTTTTCATTCTTTATCAACTTAAATATTCCTTTTGTTATTTTTAATTATTTTGTTTCATTTTCTTATTTTCTTAATTATTTACAAACATTTGCATAGGTTGGAGTAAAATACCACAGCCTATTAACTTTTACCCTATTTCTTAAGAACATAAGAACATAAGAAATTTACAAACGAGAGGAGGCCATTCGGCCCATCAAGCTCGTTTGGGGAGAACTTAGCTAATAGCTCAGAGTTGTTAAAATCTTATCTAGCTCTGATTTAAAGGAACCCATGGTTTTAGCTTCCACTACAATAGCAGGAAGACTATTCCATACTCTGACTACACGCTGTGTAAAGAAGTGCTTCCTCAAATTTGTTTTAAAATGTTCTCCCGCTAATTTCCACTTATGGCCACGAGTTCTAGTATTTAGACTAATATTGAAATAGTCATTTGGCTGAACGGCATCCAGACCCGTTAGAATCTTATAGACCTGAATCATATCCCCCCTTAGCCTCCTTTGCTCAAGGCTGAACAGATTCAGTTCCGCTAACCTCTCCTCGTAAGACATTCCTCTAAGACCAGGAATCATTCTCGTAGCTCTTCGTTGCACCTTTTCTAAGGCAGCAATGTCCTTCTTGAGGTATGGTGACCAAACCTGCACACAGTATTCTAGGTGGGGTCTTACCAAGGAATTATATAAGTGTAACATCACCTCCCTTGACTTAAACTCCACACATCTAGAGATATAACCCAACATTCTGTTCGCCTTTTTTATTGCTTCCCCACATTGGCGAGAGTGGGACATGGAAGCATCAACATACATACCGAGATCTTTCTCGTAATCAGCTACCTTTATTTCAGTGGAACCCATAAAATATCTGTACTGTATATTTTATTAAAAGTGAAAAAGTTAACAAAACAGGCATTTTCTTAATACCCAATTTGCCATTCCATAGTAGTAGTTCTACAGGTTGCATTCGTTAGCTCCTGGTTGGCCAGGTTATTGCACCTTCTGCTGTCTAAACAATGTAATTACAGCTAGGAAACACTAAGAGTATGCAGCCTAATAATCATTTGAGCCATTTTGTGGTTTTTTTATTTCCATAATTTGAATCATCATGAATTTGACCTGCAATATATTCGTGGCACGATATATCGTTACATGCCTAATGTACAGAGAGCGTATTCTGTTTAAGACAAGTCAAGTAAATTCAGAACCAAACAGTAGGGAAAACATAATACTAATCAAAGAATAATTACTAACAAATACGGATATTACTTGAACAACTGTCTCAAATAATCAATCCATTTCGGTATGTCATATGTCAGCATACGGTCGGCCTATATGACGACTGAAAGCACATCCACTTTAGCATGCTTGCGCATTTTCTGGGTACATTAACAATCTGTGCTGCATTATTTAAAAGGACTATTCTTGCATATTCACTCAGGGACTATAAAGGATCCTTAAAGAAGATATGGTGTATTGGTCTTATTAAGACCTTAAGCCAAATCATCTGGTATCTACGCTCTAACCAGTTACAAGTTAAAATTAGCTTCAGAGATCAATACATGAGCAATTTGAGCAACACTCAATAAAATACTGAAATAAACTGATTTAAGTAAAATAAGAATATATGCAACTGGCATCCTGCCCAGTTTGGCTCTAGGCCCCTGTAACTCTGAGTTGAGAAACTGACAAAGCAGCAGACATGACAAATGTTCCATGATTCCTTCACCTAAATTACAAAGTGACTCCATGCAAAATTTCAACAAGAAGTGGCTCAGATCATACAACAGTTGAGAACTAGTAGGTTAAACCACTTAAACTATCCCAGTAAATAACAAGAGTAATAGTATAATCCTAACTGATTATTTGCCTCTGTCCATATATAGTATATGAATAAAAACAAACATTCAGAGAATGGATAAAATATTTAACAACACAAATAACCTCAAACCTTAAACGAATACAGCAAAAATCAAACCAGCAGCTTTCTCATTTTTCCCAGAAAGTATTTTACACAGTTTACCACCCGGGTCACCAAAAGTAAAGTCCACTTGGCATCCTTTATTTCCTTACCCTAACCAACAAATTATACCTGTTTCACTATGACCTCCCAAGGAGACATTTTCTTAAGATATACTTTATTCATCCCAAAGCAAGATTCTCTATTTCTTCTGAATTGCTCTGAAAGTATCTACAAAGTGTGTCGCTACTTTTGTAAACACCAATAAGTGTATGTCCATGTCTTTGTGCTAGATTAATTCAGTGTTCTGAATCATTGTCTGTATATTGTGATGTTTAAAATAGTAGACAGACATCCCCCTTCATATATGCTTATAATCCTCAGTTTCCTATAAATCTCTGCTGCAATGAAAGGGGTAAGATAGTCTACGTGAAACTTGTTGGGAACGTAACAAAACTGCAAACTGCTAGACATGACCTGCAGGCAAAACTATATTAGTGCTCTTGTTCTTCCCAATGTGATCTTATTGGGTGTAGTTTGCCATTACATTAATAAATATGAAATTATCAACTCTCAGTCGAATACCCTTGGAACCACCTGCAAGACACACATAATGCTAAAATTTGTAAAACATAACTGCATGCATGTCCCCCAAGTATCTGTGCCTGACACAGCATTAGAAGGATTAGAAGATACATTATATATCATGTAAGGCATGCTATGCACACAATTCAGCTGTCATTTTCGCAGAATTGTTGCTATACCATTGCGTTCTGTGGTTCCTCTTAATGTACAATAGAATCAGGAATTTGAACATTTATAAAACAGATCACATTAAACATAGGATGAGCAAAATAAGATCTACTATGGTTCACACAACACTGTGGCCACAGGCGGAGTTGCAGGTTCAACTCAAAATTATTTTCCTTAGGAAACATCCTTTAAAATTAATAACAAATTGCAGTTAGCTAATGCATAATATTCCACCACTTAGAAAGTTCTGCTGCTTGTGTTTCAGAGTGATTTTTAAAAATTTGATTATTTTAAACAATAAATTCTGGTGTGATGTAGAATGAAGTGACAGATACATATCATTTTATGATCTTAGGGCTGGACTGAAAAAACCCAAAAAGAATCAAGCACAAACTTTTTTTCTTACGTAATTCAATTAAAATAAAAAGTAGCATAAAATGGGAACAAAACCATAAAGTGCATGCTTTAATAAAATTGTACCATGTGCAATCGATGCAGAACCTCAAACAGTTTTTAATACAGGCACAAAAAATTCTTATAGTTACATCAAAGGAATGGTTAAGGGCGGGAAATTCTCCCTAAATTTCAAAGTATAATACAATTTACTTCTGTTGTGGCCCATTATGCAACATGCTTCATTATTTGAGATGTTTTTTTATTATTATTATGCTCTAGAAATTAAATCACCTGTTTTGCAGTCCAATTACTTTCAATGAATTGGTCCACAAAGCTATATTAATTATTATGGGATTTATATGTATTGTTAATGCAATAAAAACTTAAACATTTATTTCAGCCCAGCTGTATCACAAAACTACAAAATGTGAAATACTATTTTGTTAATGGCGTGACATTAGGAACTAGTAACTAGCTTTATTACTAGATACATCCAAACTAACGCCAAACAATTCCTCCAGTACTGCCACCAAACCAAATGAAACTGATAACATCAAAGTGCAGTTGCACCACCTACCATGCAGATTTATCTAACTTGAATAAATAATAATTCAAATAACTAATATGCTAGATGATTAGGTTTCAGTATTTCAAAAGGACCTTAATTATCTAGCACGTTTCGGTGTGGTATTGAAAACGTGTTGTTATTACATAAACACATAAACCACAAATCAGCTCAGCTCCTTGTACAGTTTAAACGAAAGAATCAGTCTGTTTTGCAGCCTAATATTACCTGATGCACTGGCTGCGTGCGTTTTAAACGCCATTTTAAAAATCCTTTCCGACGCCCGCTACTACAAATTCCAGTAACCATCAAGGTAACCACATGGGTCTCAAGCTAGCTGTGTAGATAATATTAAATTATTATACTAACTGAATTATTAATCGAACTCGACAAATAACCCTCCTAACATCCTTGAAAGTGAAAAATTCGAATCGATAGTTAGCTAAATTTATCAAGCTACATATCGAGCTACCTACCTCGCGAACTCCTACAGACAAATTTGAAACCAGCTCGCTTCCCTGCTAACTAACTCGTATGATGTAAACAGCTTCACCAGTCAAGTTACCAGTCGCTTTATTCATTTGATCATCGCCATCACTTTATTTTGTTTACATTCTTTGTGAACTCACCTTCACTCTGGGAAATATTGGTGTTATGAGTGTTTTTTACTTTCTCAGCATCTGATACAGAAGCCGAGGCCTGATTGCTGTTACAGCATTTGTAATTTTTGTAAATATGTGCCTCCGCAAGTTGCGGGATAGACACACTTTCGGGCTCCATTTTCATCCCTAATGGCTACCGCAGTGCTTTTCGTTTGGGAGTGACCGTACAGGGCGAGCACGCTGCTGGGAAACGTGCGCCATCTTATGGTCGGGAGGTACAACTGCTTTCCGGCGAAAAACAGTACTGTACAGAAAATGTGTAGAGCAGGGGTCAACAGCAGGGGGAATCCCGACGCATCCATCCATCCATTTTCCAAACCGCTTACCCTACATAGTTTTTTTCTTTTCTGAATAGAAACATTTTGCCACGAACGGACAGGTTGATGATGCCTGGTGTAGAGAATTATTTCACGTGAAGAATTCTAAAATGATTATGTTTTAAGCTGAAAATAAATGCTTGTTAATTATTGATGCATATGTTTATATACCTAGACAATAATTAAAACTGAATAGACCCCCATAGCTGGCATACCCATCCACAAAAACCAAGGTTATAAAGATTTAAGTAACAAAATAGCCGGTTTTATTAAAGGGTTACATCAATGCAATATAGTAACTTGATGTGGTAAGGATTACAAAGGAAAACAATGGCTGAGAAATTTCATAAACCCTGAGGGTGGATTAATTAAGAGTGTTATTAGAGCGTGGTAGCAGTAAGTTTCATAGAGGGATGATGAAGAATTAAAGCGAATAAGATCCAAGGAGTGTAGACGTGGGACCCTTTTCCATGTTAGAGCAATGCCGTTACTCCCTCTTCTGCTGAAATTCTCTTGTCAGTCCATCCACCTGTCAATTAGATGACAGTAAATAAGTCACAATGTTGCCCTAATGTTCAGCCCATCTTTGTGATCATCTTTGTGATCATCTTTGTGATCATCATTCTCAACAATCACTCTGTTTTTAATGGTATTTTTTTCTTTTTTTTTATTCTTTCTAGTCTCTACTTACCAAAATGTTTTTCAAGGTGTTTTTCCGCTGTGGTCTTACATAACTGCATTCCCTGCCTTCACATAGTTTAATCTTCTCTGAGATCTAAGTGTGTGAGAATAAAGTATATGTATATATATATAGTTAGTTTGTGATCAACAAGAAAGAACAAGATGCAGCTCCATCCATCCATCCGTCCGTCCAATTAAATTAACTTTAAAATACTTAACATTTTTTTCTATCTTAAATGTAAATCTTGTATCATAACCGTAACATTTTGGCGAGAGCGATAAGAGGCGGCCACTCTCACACCTCAGCGGTGGTGAGTGCATCGAGCTCCCTCTTGCCCCCGGGGTACCATCCATGGGACCAGTGCTGTGAGTGGCAGAGATGTGCACCCAAACAGAGCAGCATTCCCAGCAGCAGCGTTAGTTTGCCCACACATACCATCACTAGTGCTGGCTGGAGTCCTACAGCGGGAAGACTGTTACATGGGGGATTGGAGACATACCAACATTTCAATGCAATAAGTTATTATATTGCTTCAGTTTTTAAAATTTCTAATTGAAGGGTTTATCAAGATAGTCCTACATACATTTCCCGGAACCTTATGTAGGCTAATGAGTAAACGGACATTGTTTATGAACACATAAAGTGTTTACTGCCTTAAGTGCAGAGAAATTTCAGACTGCTCAATTTTTTAAAACTATTTCATTGCAGGTTTAAGGGAAATATTATTAAACTAAATATTATTTAGTTATAATTATTTTGTGCAGGCCCATAGCCAGAATTAAACAAATTTCGGGTGGTTGGGTGGTTCAAATGCATAATTTCATTATGTGGCTACATGCCTGATTTTGTGCAATATGTGATGTAAGTAGTATCTGAGTAATTCAGTAAAAAATAACATGTGGAAAAGTGATGGACAAGATCAAACTAAGTAGCGAATGCGACGTAAAGCACTATAAACACATTCTTGTGTTACGTGAATTATGTCAATGTAATAAATACATTTTAGTCGGTGATTAATTTGGTATCCGCAAGACATTCTGAGGTCGAAACAAAAATATATGCCACGCATTATCATGTTTAAGCAGTAAATCATTTCTATCTCAGATAGAATTATAATAAGACACATAAATATCTCAAGTACAGAACAATTAAGTGTACAAGTAAACTCTTTGTCTGGATTAAATATGTTATCTCTTACCTTTATAAGCTTTAATAACTTCTCCACAGACGGATTCTGTAGTAGTCTGGTGGTATCTGTCTTGTCTTCTTTGCTGAATTTGTTTAGTCTTTATCTTCAGATCTGTGGGTCAGTTCTATTCTTGCTTGTGTCTGTAAATGTCCTGGGCTGCCTCTTCTCTCTTTGCCTTGCAGGAGAGCCTCTTCCCCCCTATATATGTCCCCCCCCCCCTTGCCCCTAACCCCCTACTGCCCATGCATTCCTGTTGTCTGTTCAGTCTGCGGTACGTTTTGGTCACGTCCCATTGTGCATCTCTAAATACTTGTAACTTACACGGGAAACACTGATCCTTTGCAGAATCTCACACATGCTTACATGCATGAGTTTGAACTCTGTCCACCATAAATCAGAATGCCCTCTACATATGCTTTACCACTGTGTGAGGATATGCAGAGAGCCCAGCATTTGTATGTGTATCTGTACGTATTTGTTGAGGCAGCAAAATTATGTGTATTTATATGCGAATAAAAGTGGAACTTGCTGTAACAATCCATTTTTTGTTTTTATTATACTCCTAATTTTGAGATATTAAAGTGTCAATATAAGTCTTCTTCAATAAACTTTTGCTCAGTTTATGAAAACTATAAACCAATATCACATTTAACTCTTCATACTTATTATGATAATCATGTATAACCATAATCATAATTGAAACTAAAATAATTTTCAACATAACATTCAGTTCCTAATCCTGACTCAAACCAATAAACTAAACCCTAAACTAATAAATGCCTATGCGCGTCAGGACTGGTGCCGTCTGACCCTGTCTTGCCCCTTTTGGCCAGCAGGTGTCACTGGTCATTCTGTGTCCCCACTCTCTGTCTTCTAGCCCTTCAGCCCCAATATTGATTTCAATATTGTTGAACATGGAAAACATTATTCTACTTGTGGCTTTGAGTTTGCTACAGCTGGTGCTAGAGGTCTTAAAGACCCTCCCACACCACTTAAATCAGTAGATTGGTAACATTTCTCAATAAATTACGAGAGGGAGAGGGAGAGAGTGAGAGAGAGAGAGGAGTTGATAAGACTAAGAATGGCTGTTGGCTCAGTTATACTGAACTTGGACTTTTTTCTGGAAAGACATCCAACAGGCTAATTCCTTTTAAGCTAAGTTCACATGAATTTAGCCCTGATTTTCTGCTTGCCAGCAGTTTTTGGAGATTGCCAACAAAACCACCAGATCAGAGGCAAATCGGTGTTCAGTCAGCGCCGGCAATTCGGCGCTCGATGACTAGGTGTAAACTGTTCAGAGACACGACGCAACCGAGTCCACGATGCATTGCAGACGCCCGCCAGATATTTGCCGTGCTAAATATCTAGACTTTAAAGAGAAAAAGTTAAAGAGGTGTCAAAACTTGTTTGTTTAGAAACTGTTCTTAGTGTTCAGGGATACATATGTTTGTATATTTTATTTGCCTGGTCACTAAAAGCCCAAGTGATACTGTTTCCTGAAAGTCTTGTATATATGAATAGGTCAGGTTAGGTTGGGGAGTGTGCACTAGTAGAGTGTGTTTCCGCACCTCCACACGACTAAACACCTCGGGATCCTGATTGGCAACCTCCCAAGCAGACACGTGGTCCAGACTTACCCTCTGGAAATGACTGTATATCTGCTGCAGCCAGGTGTATATCTGGGCATCCCCTTGGCTTGGTCAAGTGCATTGTCAGCAAAGTCAAGATCAGTGAATGTTTCTTCACCAACAGATACCCCACAGCTGCTGGACCCCACGACCCTGGCCAACACCCAGTCCATGCAAGCATTGAACAGAGTAGGAGCAAGAACATCTGGATACTTGTGACAGCATAAATTACAGAAAATGGTCAGTTTTGTGTGTGTTCACTTTGAAAGCATATGTGCTATAATTACAAATAATAAATAACAAGAAAACTATAAAATCTATGGATTATCTCAGTCAAAATATTAAATATACTGTGTAACAAATATTTTTTAAATTAACTCTTTATGTAAAATATTGTGGTCAATATTAAAAATGACAACTCCATCTTTTAAATTATACTTCCACTTATACTGAAATAGATGCTATTCTGTGGATTTCACAAAGGAGTTTCCAAGACGGAGGTCCATGATACTGCAGTGGTCAGTTCAGAGCTGATAAAAATAGCAACAATTGCATTAAATTATGTTAATTTCTTTGTCAGTAAGACTCCGGTCTCCAGTCTTGTGAAGCCATTTTAATAGTCTCAGACAACCGCTATTTTATGTCTGCATATTTAGAGACGACAGTAAAGTTTGGCTTGATTTCACAGCATTCATTTCCAAACATACTTTTAAAAACACCATGAGGTCTTCGTATGCAACACGTTTTCAATTTGCTCATTAATTATGCATTAATTTCCAATGACATGCTCTCATTTACGATCTTGTCACCTACACAATACATTTCAGCAGGCATACTGCCTATTAGCTTTTCCGCTCCATCCTGTTTGCTCCTGTTCCTAAAAAGCACCAAAAGCCGTGTGTCATTTGCCCTCCATCACAGAGGAGGGGCCTGAAGGACACGGGGCCAGGCCTGAGCAAACACACAGGGTCCTTTAAACACCTCTTCTAATTATAGGATGATACCAGCTCATCCCACAGGTCAGTGAAATGCAAAGAGGAGAACACAGGATATGCACAAGGAGGCCAAGTCAGGCTTGCTGACGGCTGATTGAGTTCCTGTCAGTGACTGTTTAACATCGTGCAAAGGTCTCATAGTCTCTTTGCTCTGCTTTGGACAGGGTTTACAGACACGTCAGAAACAATCAGCGAACCGGAATCATTATGTCAAAGACGATGCTGCACATGTGAGCGTCTAATACACACACAAGGTATGTCATGAAATGTAAAGAATAATTTAAAAAGTAAAACTTAATCTGTATTAACAATTTAAATATTATAATCATCTCTACACATGAGAGGTAAATGACAGTGCTCCAAATACACATTCTCTGGGAACAACAGCCTTTCTGTACATGGACAAACATACTGTTTTGACTGAAGAAAAAAGCTATTTGGATTACATTTTAAAATTCCACATCCAAGGTAAAAATTGCTTTGAATAAAATTTGCTAGGGTGTTGACCCCTGTAAATCTTTTGCTTCTTATTATAGGAAGGTGAGGGTGTTTTTAAACTAGTTTAGAAAAATAAATGTGTAGATTTGTAACTGTTGACATTGAAAGACTTCTGCATATGAAATATTTTAGTAATTTTGTTTAGCAGAATCCACTTTCTGAGAGGCCTGCTGCATACTATTGGCTTGGTAATATTGCTTTATGTTAGCTAATCCACTGTATCTATGGCAGAGACGAGAAAGGAGCTCTGCTCTGCCTTGGGGAACTAAATGCAAATGCAAGTATTTACATCTGGGTTTTATGTTTGTTGCTTACAACACAATCCACACTATAATGGTTTTTAATATTGTACCAGTTAAATTTTATGCACAACTTTAGTCTAATGTCCAGTGTTACACAGACAAACACAAAAAAATTAATCACCTGAATAAATATTTATACAGATAAAAGTATTATTCACTCTTCCCTTAACACTGGAATTGTTCCTTCATCCTTGAAAACTGCTGCTGTTACCCCAATACTCAAAAAGCCTGGTGCAGACCCCAATAACTTTGACAATCTCCGCCCTATATCGAACCTCCCTTTCATTTCAAAAATCCTAGAGAAAGTTGTTGCCTCCCAGCTCCAATCTCACCTCAATGAATACAATCTTTATGAAAAATTTCAATCTGGCTTCCGCCCCGGTCATAGTACTGAAACTGCTTTGATAAAGGTCACTAACGATCTTCTGATGGCAGCTGACTCTGGCCTTCTCATCATTCTCATTCTTCTGGATCTCAGTTCTGCATTTGATACTATTTCTCATGATATCCTCTTAAACAGACTAACATTCATTGGCATTAGTCATATTCCTCTCACTTGGTTCACCTCATATTTCTCAGACCGCACTCAATTTGTTCAATTTAAATCTCACTCCTCAAGATTGTTTCCTGTTTCTGCAGGTGTACCCCAGGGTTCAGTATTGGGGCCTCTTTTATTCCTCATATACATGCTCCCTCTTGGCCATTTATTCAGGAAATATAACATTGATTTTCATTTTTATGCAGATGACACCCAGCTCTACATCTCTTCGAAACCTAATTCATCGCTTCCCCCCATTTCCCTCTCTAACTGCCTTATGGAGATTAGATTATGGTTCTCCTCCAATTTTCTAAAACTTAACAGTAATAAGACTGAAGTTTTGCTCATTGGTACACCTTCTACTTTAACAAAATCCCATAGTTTTCCTATTGACATAGATAACTCCCTTATCCATCCTTCCCACCAGGTAAAGAGTCTGGGTGTCATACTGGACAGTACACTCTCTTTTCAGTCCCACATTAATTACATCACCCGTTCTGCATACTTTCACCTACGTAACATTAACCGACTCCGTCCCTTCCTTACTTCCCATGCTGCTGCAATCCTTGTGCATAGTCTCATCACTTCCCGCATTGATTATTGTAACTCCCTCCTATTTGGCCTTTCCAACAAATCTCTTCATAAACTTCAAATTTTACAGAACTCTGCGGCTCGGGTCATAACTCAGACTCCGTTAAGCGATCATATCACACCAGTTCTCCAACAACCGCACTGGTTGCCCATAGATGCTAGGATAAACTTTAAAATCCTACTCTTTGCTTTTAAGTGCATCCATAACCTCGCCCCTCCCTATCTGTGTGATCTATTACATATTGCCACTCCTTCCCGTTCTCTCAGGTCATCGTCTGCCATTCGTCTCGTTGTTCCCTCTGCCCGTCTTACTACTATGGGGCAAAGAGCTTTCAGTCGCTCTGCCCCTCGCCTCTGGAATTCACTTCCCCCAGCACTAAGGAACACTGATTCCCTTTCCTCATTTCAGTCACAGCTCAAAACACATATGTTCAAAATGGTCTACTTACTTTAATTACAGTATTTACTTGCAGTCAATTATGTCTATAGCTTTTCCTTTTTTATCTTATTGTAATTTATTGTAATTTATTGTTTTTGTTTTTATTTCTTATGTTTGTAAGGTGACCTTGGGTTCTTGAAAGGCGCCGTGAAATAAAATGTATTATTATTATTATTATTAAGCACTTTTAATACGATGGACAATTTCTGTTCAGAGAGGCATATTATTTCAGTGTGCTTATATTTCATAATTCATACACACACTTAGCTCTGATTAAAACACTATCAAACGAAATGTGAAACAAAAAATATATAAGACAACAATACCAAATGAAACTAATACAGCGAATACAAAAGGGCTCCAGCATTGGGTGTCTGGACCCCAAATAACCAAAGGTCTAATACAATTTAAAATGGTCCCATTGCATTTAAAATATATTTTTCTTTTCTTTAAAAAAAATGAGTAGCAAGCCACTGGACACAAAAGAAATATAAATATGCCTACAGTATGTACAGACAGCTAGGGGTTTACCGAGCTCCCCGCATCGCTCACAGATATTAACTGAGCGACGTTCTGCTTGGTGTCCGTCTTGCTTGCTGAAGCCTGTTTCATTTATCCACACAACCCGGGAGTACTTTAATGGAAATACACTAAATAAAATACTCTATAAAGGGCCAAATAAAACCGGGATAATGTAAAAACTTAATGATATGGAGACACGAGAGGAACAATTAGGAAATAAAACTGAACAGGGAATCAGGCGCATGGACAATTTTAAAAAGAATCCAGAAAATATAAATAAAAGCATGAAAATGAAAGTTCTGGATAATGAAAGTGTTTTGTCACAGACAACACAAAAACTTAATTTTCTTAAAATGCCATTTCTTTAGTACCAACAATTCAGCTGTGAATTATATCGTGATATGTCCAGATTTGTATGCTTCAAAAAGGAAACTGTCACACTGGGGTCTTTCACAGGCAGAAACACTTGTACAACTTTCCATCACATGTAAACAGTAGGACTGTAGTATGTGTGCAGTGTTCATACACACATGCACACCCACGAACGGCATTGGACTGCTGGCGTAAGGCCACTGGTGGTCACACACATACTCACGTCAGGGTGAATATAGAGCATATGCTGTTATGGCACAGCGATATCTGCAGGAGAATCGGAACCTCCAAAACACTGAACTCTTCTGGATCACATGTGAGGAAGCATACAACTATACAAACCCACAAATGATTTCATCAGCACCAAAGACCAAAACTGTAAACCAAACCAAAAAAGGGCATCCCTTTATCGTCGCAACCTGCTGTTGATGTACCCATGATACTGTTTGGTCCCCATATTCCCCACCAAGTAAAACAATTAGCTTATATTATTTTCCTCCCTGTACAGAGTCATTCCAAACAAACATCAAGCTGCACAGATGACCTCTGGAGATTATAAATGTAAATAAATAATGTGCAGTGATGATAGGCCCAACAAAACCCACTGGTTTGGCTGGATCAGGAAGACCAAATATTAGTAACGTAATCAAAGTACTGAGTCAGTTTCCAATTATGCTGCTTTCTATTCAGTTTGTTAGATAAAAAAAAAAAACACAGCCAACAGCAAATGTTAATATTGTAAAGGTAGGAAAGTAGAGGGGTGTTTTGTGTGAGAAGAAGGCACTGGGTCCAATTTAATTTAGACCTACTGTATACCAATGTCTGACACTGCCAGACGGGTGACGGTTGCACTTTTAGGTCTTTTTCAGTGAAACTGGATCATACTCTTCAGGTAACAAGTCAGCATCGGCCAATATGGCTAATAAGGAACCTTGTGGTAATTGAGGGTATTTAGTTAACATCTAACCACCTTCTATATAAAAGCAGAAGATGATGCCATACCTCCAGCAGACACATAGCTCTTTCTGTCCTGATGGGGGCAGGCAGGGATGGAGGGCTTATAGAAATCTATTTACAAAATAAGTTCATGTAGATCATACAGGCCTTTGCTAAAGGGCATTTTTTTCTACACACTCTGCAGCTCTTTTCTTTACAGCGACACAACCCTGCAGTATATCATTAGGTTGATCTTCTTACACTTACTGTACTATCATTTTTCTTTTGGTATAAGAAAAAAATATAAGGGTATTTACAGAGATCCTGTAATTTTCAAAACTACTGCTACATAAAAAAATAGATCTCTTTGCATCTGAAATCAAAGTTTGTCTAGTGACTGAAAGTGAACATAAATCCCATATAACCCTTCACATATGGCCAGATTCATAACACTGAACATCTTTCCGTTCTATTTCATAAGGTACCAGGTCTTTCTGGATGTTCTATTTAACATGAACTTGCCCGTCTTGGTTATTGGAAAATCCTGTATACGTGTTCATCAGAAATCTCAAAAGATAATAATAAACTCAAATGTATCGTAAGTACATTGGCAAAAATGGGAAAGGATCAAATTAGAAAACATTCAAACAGGCATGTGTGCATTTAGCGCAGCGTACAGTTCGTTTCATTTGCTTCTTCCACCGTCCTTCCACCTTCCATGCCGTTCTATTCTCTCAGGTTGGTGTCGCTGACGATGGGCCGTGGGCAGGAAAGTCCGTCCTCTGTATTTATTTGCCGTTGCCTTTATTTGAAGTTGGCGTAGTCGGAAAAGGCATCGATGTACTCCTGGACCACTTTATAACAAAACTCGTACTGCTCCTACCAATCAAAGGTAGAAAGTGACGTTAGGAGGGTTGTCTCCTGCAGCAAAGACGACGGCACAGACAGCAGCCAGTTAAGCTGCCCAGACAGCAGCCAGTTACACTGCACAGACAGCAGCCAGTTACGCTGCACAGACAGCAACCAGTTACGCTGCACAGACAGCAGAGAGTTACGCTGCACAGACAGCAGCCAGTTACGCTGCACAGACAGCAGCCAGTTAAGCTGCACAGATAGCAGCCAGTTACACTGCACAGACAGCAGAGAGTTACACTGCACAGACAGCAGCCAGTTACACTGCACAGACAGCAGCCAGTTACGCTGCACAGACAGCAGCCAGTTACGCTGCACAGACAGCAGCCAGTTACGCTGCACAGACAGCAG